ATGCTCAGTTTGCCATTATCAATGAACCATTTAAAACTGAAGCCAATAAGGGGAACTTTCTGGAGATGAAAAATAAGTTCCTGGCCCGGAGGTTCAAGGTGGGGACAAGGGAAGAAAGGAATAGGGTTGAAGAGAAACAGGTCAAAATTGGGACCAGATCTGATTGGAACCCAGGGAAGGAAAGTTAATACTTTGAGGGTTGTGGCAAAGTTTGAGGCCAAGTGTAACTTTGTGTTGGGGACTGAGGTCTGAATCAGGGTTGACACTGGGGTTGCAGTTAGTATGGAGCAGCAGGTACCCTGGTCCAGCAGTGAGGAAGGATGGGTCTCCAGTGCTGTGTCTGGTCCATCATCTTGCTCACTTCTGAATAGTAGAGCCCTGCTTTCACTCCAACCCTGTGCCCTCAGCTCCTGGAGCAGGCGCTGGTGATCGAGGAGCAGCTGCGGCGGGCGGCCTACCTGAACCTGTCACAGGAGCCGGCGCACCCCGCCATGGCCCTCCACGCCCGCTTTGCCGAGGCCGAGTGCCTAGCCGAGAGCCACCAGCACCTCTCCAAGGAGTCGCTGGCGGGGAACAAGCCGGCCAACGCCGTCCTGCACAAGGGTAAGGGCCGCGGCGGCCCCGCGCGGGGGAGGGCCCACAACGCTGCGTAAGTCTTCACCCCGCACCCCTCAAAATCTTCCCACCCCTCTGACCCCCTTTACCCTCTGAACCATCCCCCTCTGACCTCTAACCCTATCCCTGACCCCTTAGTTTTTAGCTTTTAGCACTTGTGCAAGTCAGCTCTCTTCCATGCCTGATAGTGGTCATGTCAGTGCCCACCAGCGGTACTCCTCCCGATGCGTGTCTTGTCTACATAGTAGGGCCTCTTCCTGTGTGGTAGAATTTCACACACCTGTCATACTGCTAATGCCATCCAACTTGAGGTCTTGGCCTATGTATACACCACAAAGGTCCTTAGTTCTTGTCTCACAGATCATATTCCCTCACATATTCACCCTGTGAGGCAGAAATTACCACCCATCCACCCTCTGACCCTGTGAAACTTCCCTTTGACCTTCAACCCTTTTCCCATACCCTCTTTCCTTGATGATTATAGATTAAATACCAAAGCCCTTTAACCATCTAATCCTGCCTGGTATAGTGACTGACTCTTGGCCCCTTTGATCCCTGTTCTAATTCATTGAATCTATAATGCTGACCCTCTAACCCCCTCTCCCCTTACATATTAAAACCTTGATTCCTTAAACCTTCGATACCACTGACCACCTCCCACACCTCCTGACTATTTCCTCCCCATCATCCCCAATCCCCCAACCCCACTCTTCCAGTATGGGATGTTCTGACAACTCCCCGCCCCCGTGTCTTCCAATATCCTCCCCTACCTCTCTTTTCTCCCATTTCTCCTTTTTCTTGTTTCTCTCCATCTGTCCTCTGTGATGATCTGGTCTCTCTCTTTTTCCTGACACTTTCCTGAGTCATTCTTTTTCTGTCTACTTTTTTGTTGCTCTCTTCTGTTGCTTCTGTCACTTGTCTCTGGTTCTTTGATGTCTGTGTCCTCCTCTATTTTTCTGACTATATCTGTCCATCTGACTCCTTGTTGCTTTTCCTGGCTCCATGTCTCTCTTTCCCTGTCTTTCTCTTGCCCTTCTTTCTCCGTGGCCCGGGCCCCAGTTCTGAACCAGCTGGAGGAGTTGCTGAGCGACATGAAGGCGGATGTGACCCGCCTGCCAGCCACGCTGTCCCGAATACCCCCCATCGCAGCCCGCCTTCAGATGTCCGAGCGCAGCATCCTCAGCCGGCTGGCCAGCAAGGGCACGGAGCCTCACCCCACACCGGTAACCCTCTTTTCCCCTAACTCGTTTTCCCTCTCCTTCACACACACAAATACTTTCATCAGAATCCTATACCATATGGAAAAACCACCTGCTAGACCTCAGTCTTCACCCTTGAGTGAGTCTCCCTGCCTGTGTTACACCCCTCAGTAGTTCTGGAATGTGGCTTTTGTTCCCATACATCCATCTTTCCTCTTAAATAAGACTATGGATTAACTAACCTCAGCTTTCTTTCTATTTCAGGCCTTCCCCCCGGGTCCCTACGCCACACCTCCGGGGTACGGGGCGGCCTTCAACGCCGCACCCGTAGGGGCCCTGGCCGCCGCAGGCGCCAATTACAGCCAGATGCCTGCAGGGTCCTTCATCACAGGTCAGCTGGTGCTTCTAATTCCTGCTTCTCCCACTTCTTTGCCAAGCCTCATCCCTGCTCAGCTTCCTTGTCCTGCTGTAGCTATCTCATTTCCTTGCATGTGTCCAGTACCAGGGAATGGAGTTGTTCTGGGCTTCATTCTACCCATCCCTTTCTTAACTCTTCTTCTTCTATCCCCATTGTCAAAAAACCTCACTCAGTATTTTAGTGGTTCTGTGGCTTGGTATCTCCCACACCAGCCTCCTCCATCTGGGTTACCTCAAGGGAAAGTGAACATGAATTCATAGGGGTAGAGTGAGAGTTGGAACATGCATTCAGTCATATGGAGAATCTTAGGGAGGGAGCTTCACCCTGGTCTTCCCACCCTTACCCAAGAAAATTGGGAAGTGGTAGTGGTAAGAGTATATTAATGTTCAGAAGTAACATTTGGGAGCAATGTAGGGATTGATCTTTCCTTACTCCTTTCCAAACAGCCGCCACCAACGGCCCTCCAGTGCTGGTGAAGAAGGAGAAGGAAATGGTGGGGGCACTGGTGTCAGACGGGCTGGATCGGAAGGAGCCCAGAGCCGGGGAGGTGATCTGTATAGACGACTGACTGGATCCCAGGCCTGCCCTTCACCCAGGCCCCGTCCCAGAGGCCGACCCCCTGCTCAGGCCCTGGGGCCTGCTGCCAGTTCTCCGTCTTCTCCACCCCTTGGGCCGCCATTGGGCTAAAAGCCCCTTTGCCCCTCTATAACTCCTCTCTTCAAGAAGGGACCCTTGTCTTTCCATCCCTATACACCTTTCCCACCAAGCTTTGAAGGCTGTGCTGGTGTGAAGTGGTCTGGGTGGGAGATGGTTAGCTGGGTCTTCCAAGTACCTTTATCCCCCCACTGCCAAATATACACAGCTTCCCAGTAAATGGTTGTCAGGAGGAAAGAGATGGAGCCTCTGCCATATCAGCTCCACCTCTTGCAGAAGTGGGGGATTAGCCTTGCCTGGCCTTTAGGAACTTTTGTGGGAAGAAGAGCTTCAAAGAGAGGAGGGGTACTTTTAGAGAGGAATGAAAATGAGCCCTGGGAGGGAGAAGGGAAGAGGAAGGGTGGCTGCATGTTACCTTCCCCTACCTCTCCCCAAATGAAGGGTGGAGCAGCTATGAGGGAGGGAGTCTATTGCTGTTCAGCCTCAGAATAAAGGCGCCATTCACTGGCTCAGTTACCTCCTGTGTACCGCCATCTTGTGTTGGGAAACTTACCCCACTCCCTAGGTACCAAGGACCACCCCCACAAAGAAAGTAATGGTTGGGCGATACTCCCTCAAGCCAAAGAGGAGCTCCCCAATCTGATCTAGGAACCTAGAAAGGCGGGGAGAGAATATGCCGGCCAGACATGGGGGCAGCCCCCAACTCTGCCTCTCAGGTTCCTGAGGGACTTACCTTTCCTTTTCAAAGCCTGGTTACAGACTAAATGTGAGTGAGCCAGGCAGGGGGACCTAGTTAGGGGACTACCTTGCCTGTGGGACCGGAGCAACATAGTGGAGGGCAGGCTAGGGAGATGTGGGCATTCCCCCTTCCTAGGAGGGGTCGGGGAGTGGCAGTTTGCATGGCGAACCTCCCACTTCCTCATTGCTGCCCCTTCACTTTCTTGCTGCCCCTTTCCCAGTCTCTTCACACCCACTCCTGGTCTGTCCCAGTACCCTCTTCTGTATCAGGTTTACTGGTTGTACATATAAATTATACTTTCCTTTCTGTGTGCTCTGTTATTTTGGCTGAGGGAGTTCTTGGGTGGGAAAGGGATAAAAAATTATTGCTTTCTGCCATTTCGTATCATCTGTCTTTTCCCCCCACACACACCTTTTTTAAATTGTGACTTTCCTTTACCTCATTTTTGTCTCTGAATCATTCACTAAAACTGGACCCTTTTTCCAACATCAGCTGTGTGATGAGCTCAGTGTAGAGGAGGGTGAGCAGGATCCCTGTGTGGCTTTGTGGCTTCAATGGAGTATAGAGAGGGAGCAGGCTTCCTTGACAGAGGTACAGTGGGAGGAGTGCCTGACAAGGAGTCAAAATTGCCTTCAAGTCCTTTGATCATCCTCTTCCCTTTAATGCTTAGTTCCCGTAAGAGTCAGTAGAGGTCACTACAGCTCCATAGGTTCAATTTCATATGAAGTACAGGTACTTTTGTTGTTGTTGTTTTTAAGGGTTAGGGGTCAGACCTGCAATAGTGCCAGAGATGTGAACTGCTAAGACACTACCTTGGCATGTATTGTTCACTAACAGAAGCTTTCAGAAGCTGAGCAAGGCCAAACCCTTTATTCCTAAGGCTATTTCAAAAAATAAGAGAGATGCAACAAACATTTATTGAATATCTACTGTACATGAACACTGTGTTTGGCCCTGGAGATAAAAGTCACAAGTTAGTCAAGGCTCCCATGTAGCTTCTACTTAGTAGAGTACACCCATAAAATGTGAAATATCAGAAAATAAAAGGAAAAAGCCATTATGTTACAAAGGATGGGGAAAACAGCAATCAAAAAAGGGAACATTTAAACTGAGAGTTAAGAACAGGAAAATGCCAAATACATGTTTAGTTGGGTGTAGTGTGTATGCCTATAATCCCTGCAGTTCAGGAGGCTGAAACAAGAGTATCACAAGTTCAAGGCCACCCTTGGCAACTTGGCAAGACCGTCTCAAAATCAAAATTTTTTTAAAAGCCAAGCACAGTGGCACATACCTGTAATCTCAGCTGCTGGAGAGGCCGAGGCAGGAGGATTCCCAAGTTGAGGCCCTAAGCAACTTAGCAAGATCCTGTCAGAATATAAAGGGCTGAGGATGTAGCTCAGAGGTAAAGTACCTTGGGTTCAATCCCCAATTCTGCAAAACAAGCAAAATAAATCCAGGAACATGGAGATTTACCCAGGTGTAGAGCATTCCTGTAATTCCAGTGACTCAGGAGGCTGAGGAGGCCAGCCTCAGCAATTTAGTGAGACCCTGCCTCAACATATTAAAAAAGGGGGGGGGGGTTGGAGATGTACCTCAAGGGTAGAGTGCCTGGTTCAATCCCTAGTAGCACACACAAAGTTTCTAGTCTAAAAATAAATGGATACTTTCACAACTTGTCAATAATAATAAAGCTTAGAGACAAAGCTAAACAACCAGGATCCATACTTGTCACTTTTTTGAGGTGGAGTAGATGGCATTTGCCATCCTTCAGTCTCAACGTCTTTCAGTCTCAGCCTCTGAGTAGCTGGGATTACAGGTATGAACCACCACACCCAGCTTAAATTCACATTTTTAACTCAGAAAAAATGTAATACAATAACTTCTTCAGCAATAGAATGATATTTAGACCTTTCAATAAGATAGTACATGGATTGTGTTTTAAATCATCTGTCCACAGATGATATCTTAGAGTGTCTAGGATCTTGACCAATACTTCTTAAACTTTTCATGCACACAGATCACACAGAATCAGAATCTAATTCAGTAAATTTGGGATCTTGAGATTCTACACTTCCAACAAGCTCCACACTGACACCAACACTGCTGGTCCTTGACCATGACTCTACTCTTAAGATATTTATAGGTATGTAATAAAATAGCATTCACAGCATGCAATAGGTAAGGTTTTCATTACAGGACACAAGTTTAAAATTATAAAAGCACCTTTTTTCAGTAGTGCCAGGGTGTCCCTGTGACTATGAAAAATACAGATAATATAAAGTTTTATATTTTGATGATTTTACCAAATGACTCTCCTTTCGTCTTCTGAAAAAAAGGTTTTTAGTTGTAGATGGACACAATATCTTTATTTATTTTTATATGGTCCTAAGGATCGAACCCAGGGCTCACGCGTGCGAGCCAAGCGCTCTACCACTGAGCTACCCTTGATAAACCCTAATTAGGTGTCTCATATGATGTGCTCTGGCCCTTCGAATACCTGCCCTAGCAGACTGAAGAGAGATTGTGAAATGAAGCAAGGACCTAATCATAGGCAGGGAGGCATCTCAATAATTTCTGGAACAGAACTAGGAGTAGAGAGACAACAGGCATACTAGCATCCTTACATGCCAGAGAAGTGAAATTCTAACATGCCATGAAAATTAGCCTCTTTCTCATTCCATCTTTTTAAAATATTCAAACCATTGACAACTGCTAAAATGGGACCTGTTGCTCCCACACACCACAGCGGCCCTGGACAAAAGCCAAAGCCACAGCTAAGAAAACAGTCTGTTTTCTTCCCACAGTAATGTAGGCTTTGTTTATATCATCCCTGGGCCTGAAAATGTAATGCTGGCAATCAGTAGATGGGGGCGAGTTTGTCTAGGAGGCTCCCAGCTCAGCATCAACATCTCCCAGGGCGTTTCCTTCTGCCCAGGCTCAACTCCATCACGTGCCAATACCGGGATCGGAGGGGGTAGTCTTGACATCAGTCCCCTGTACTAAAACACGCCTGAGGCTGCAGCTCCCACTTTTCTTCTGCCATAGCTTCCGGATTACTCGGTTACAGCGTGCAACAGGTCACGTGGGCAATGTCCTTGATCTCTGGACAGTAGAGCACTATGAGAAAGAAGATTTAGTAGCAGAAGGAAGCAACCGAACCCTAGCGTTCCCCCAGGATCTGCTCTCACCGTTGCTAGGCAGCGGACGCCACCAGCGGCGCGCGGGCGCCAGGACCCTATCCCAGAGCCGCTGGAGCGCGCGCCACCCCGCGCTTCTAGGGCCCGCCCCCTCCTCGCACTCCTCTTCCTCGTCGTCTGCCTCTCCTTCGCCGCTTTCCTTGGCCAGGCTCCCCGCCTCATTTCGCTCGCGCGCAGCCCGCGCTTTTTCCTCCAGTCGTGACCATAGGCTTGGGTCCACAGCGACCTCCGTGACGCCGCCACGCGGAAGCGGGGAGGGCGCGCGGCAGAAAGGGCACGTGATGACGCGGCGCAGGCGCACCACGCGCGCGGCCGCACCGCTGCCGTCGCCTCGCGCCGCCAGCTCGCGCAGGCAGGCGGTGCAGAGCGTGTGGCCGCAGCGGGCGCGCACCGTGCCAGGTAGGCGACGGGGCGCGCGGCTCTCGAGGTTGAAGGGCCGGTAGCAGATATTGCAGTCCAGCTCGCTTCGCTCGGGAAGAGAGGGCACCCTCACTAGGAGCTGCATCGTACCCGCCACAGATTTTAGGGTGCCGCTCACTCAGCCGTGGACAGAGCAAGCGAACCTTCTTGTGGCCCGGGTCCGGTCCTGGGGCCCGCGCCGCGGCCTCTCACCTCTTTTAATAGTGAGGTTCTGCCCTCGAGGCGTCAGGTGGCTGTGTGGCCACTCCCTTCCGCGGCACGCGTGGGGGCGGTGGAGGCACTACGCCCGGAATGCCAGCGTGGGCGGAGTAAGGGAGGAGGGCCAGGAGGTGTCGGGATTATCCTGGGGGGCACACCTTGCATTGTCCCCTACACGAACTTCTTCACCTCCAGCACAATGCCAGCACTCTTTAACTATACTATTTGCAAATCCCCAGGCCCCTTCTTGCGCTCCTGCCTTCAGTCACTGGCACCAAAGGTCCCTCGGCCTTATTTTTAAGTTGCTCACTTTTTCAAGAGTCTCCTCAAACAGATTTACTAAGCCAGTTATAGTGCCTGTTCTGCCAATCTGTAGTGGGCTCCTGGATATCTGCATGGATGCTACCCAGTGTCTCAGCCCTTAGCCCTCAAAGGACCTCCCTGTGTTCTTGTTAAGACTGATTTCTCAAATTTCATCCTCCCCAAACTGTTCAACCCACTTCTCAGCCTAAGATAGGGACCTAGATTCCAGGACCTTAGACTTAGGAATGCTGGGAATCTGTACCCTCCAGAGTATCCAGGCTTGGACACCCACACAGTGTGATGGCTCTAGCAAAACAATCCAACATGACTTCTGACTCAGGAGTCTGACTTCCTCCCAGGTAAACAGGACATGGTACTCACAACCTACATTCCTTTATTGTGTGGCACCCACACTCAGCTGCCTCCTCACACTGCTCTCTTGGACCTACCTCCCAGGTTCTCTTGGAGAGAGTAATAACTCAGCCTCTAAACAACTGGCTTGAGTACAAACCCTAACCTCCACCAGCATTTGCAGCACTTTGAGCAAGTTACTTAATCTCTCTGGGCCTTGATTTCTTTGTCTACAAAATGTGGATAACAATGGTGAGGACTGAAAAGTTTGTGTAAATAGGGGCTTAAAATGGTGCTTATTGCATAGTAAATACCAAGTATTAGCTATTTATTTATTTTTTGCCTTGAGGATTGAATCCAGGGACACTTTATCACAGAGCCCCATCCCCAGCCCTTTTTATATTTTTATTTTGAGATAGGGTCTTGCTCAGTTGATTAGGTCCTCACTAAGTTGCTGAGGCTGGCCTTGAACTTGTGATCTTCCTGCTTCAACCTCCCAAGTTGCTGGGATTACAGGCTATGCTACTGACATTAGCTATTATTATTGTCATCGTGTGCTCCCTACCTATATTCACTTCTCAATACCAGATATTTTCAACATGCATCTTATATTTGGTTAATACAAGATAGGCTTCTTTCCACCCAGGGTATTTATTGGCTTATTACAATGTAGAGCTGGTTTTATTTTTTCATTAAGTTGTTTAAACCTAGAAGACAGTCTTGTGAGGAGGTATACCATTATTTTTGAGCAAACATTTCAGAACTTTGGAGTTTTTTGTCTTCATGGTCACTTGGAACCTGTCTACTTATTCCATCTACTTATGCTATCGTAATTCAAAACGTTTTGGAACTACCCTTTGAAAAGGTGTGCCTCACGTTTTTAAATATCTTCAACTGGTGATAAATCTTAGCCTTTTTTTCATTTTAGTTTCTTGTATTTTTTTATTTGTTCTTTTAGTTATACATGACAGAATGTATTTTAACATTTCATACATAAATGGAGTATAACTTCCCATTCTTGTGGTTGTACATGGTGTGGAGTTACACTGTTCATGTATTGATCTATGAACATGGGAAAATTATGTCTCATTCTACTGTCTTTCCCATTCTCATCCCCTCTCCCTTCCCCCCATTTCCCCTGTCCAATCTGGTGAACCTCCACTCCTCCCTCCCCCCAGATCTTTAGGTAGATTTTATTATATAAATGTTCCCCATTTTTTTGACAGCCAACAGACCAAGCTCCAGATTTATGTATCCCATTGCTAGCTCCACAGCCTTTCTTGTTTATCTTTAATTCAGACTGATAGCTAGGTGTGGTGGCCTGTAAACCTAGAGACCTGGGAGACTGGGATGAGAGGTCACAAGTCTAAGGTCAGTTTCATCAACTTAATAAGACCCTGTCTCAAAATTAAAAGGACTTAGAGGGCACGGTGGTGCACGCCTATAATCCCAGTGGCTGGGGAAGCTGAAGCAGGAGAATTGCAAGTTCAAAGCCAGCCTCAGCAAAAGCGAGGCACTCTAAATAAATACAAAATAGGGCTGGTGATGTGGCTCAATCCCCGGTACCAAAAATAAAAAATTAAAAGGACTGAGGATTTAGCTCAGTGGTAGAGTGCCTCTGGGTTCAATCACCATACCAAAAATCAAACAACAAACAAAAAACAAAGTAATTATCTCCCTAATCAATCTAGTACTTCTAGTGTTTCCCAACCCTTCCTTGACCCAACACAAAAAACCAAGGTGTAACCCTTGACACCTCCTTTTCCCTTACCTTCTTTTATTGACCCATTTCCAAGCTTGGGTCATTTTGCTGCTTAAATTCATCTCTCTAATCCATTTACTTATTAATTGCCACCTCCTGCCCACCATGTAATTTAACATATTATATATACATGGAGTATAATTTCCCATTTTTGTGGTTGTACGTGGTATAGAGTTACACTGTTCATCTATGAACATAGGAAAATTATGTCTGATTCATTCTACCGTCTTTCCCATTCCCATCCCATACCATCATCTCTTGCTTAGACCTTAGCAAAAACCACCTAATCAGTCTATCCATAAGCACTCCAGCCTCTGTAGGCTTTTAGATATTTACAAATGTCAGACTCAATCAGGTCCTATCACATAGTCCTTCCATTCCTGTTTAAAATCTTTTAATGTGATAGTTTAATGTCCCCCATTTCCTTTGCAACACAGCTTTGCTGCTTCTCTATCAAAAATTGGGGTCTATTTCCTTATACCTTGAATCTGGGCTGGCTTTGTGATCAGCCTTAACTAATAGGATGTGGCAGAAGTGATATGTATATTCTGGGTCTAGTCTTTCAGAGGTCTTGCAGCTTATGTCTTTGTCTCCTTGGAGGCTGCACTGAGACCATGCAAGGAAGTAAGGCTAGACCACTGGTGGATGAGGCCACGTGGAGGAGAACAGAGGTGCCCCAACCAAGAGTCAGTGCTAACTATGAGACGAGCTAATGAGTCCATCTTGGAATTCTGCTGTTAACCAGCCAGTTGAACACAGCCTCATGAACAAACTCAGGTGAAAACAGAAAGGAACTCCCAGGTAACCCACAGAATCATGGAAAAAAATAACTTTTTAAGCCACTAAATTTTGGAGTGATTTGTTGTGTGTCAAAAGCTAACTGATATAAAGGTTTTCCTGCTGTCCTTAGGATAAAGATATTCTAAAGCGCTCTGTAATGCTGTGTGTTCCGACTCCACCCATGCCTCACATTTTTCTCCTTGGCTCTGGAAACCTTTGACTTGTGTTATGGTTTCAATCTTAAATGTCACCCAAAGAAAGGCTCATGTGTTGAAGGGCTTGGTCCTCAGCTGGAGGTGCTATCAGGGTACAACCTTTAGAGGTGGGGCCTTATAACAGGAAGTTAGGGTCACTGGGGCATTGAAGGGGATATTGGGACCTGGACCCTTCCTTTTCCTCTGCTTCCTGACCACCATGAGATGAGAGTTTCCTCTCCAGTATGCTTCTATCATGATATTTTGCCTCACCATAGGTCCAAAAGCAAGGGGCCAAGTGACCATGAACTGAAAAGTCTGAAACCGTGAGCCAAAATATTTTTCCTCCCTTTAAGTTGTTTAATCAGGCATTTTGTCAAAGCAACGAAAAGCTAACACAGCTTGCAAGTTCCCTTCTTCAAAAGGCCTTTGTGTATGCTATTCCCCTCATCCCTCCCCTCTTTTCCCCCTCTGGACTTTGGACAACTGAAGTTTGTATTTGGTTGGTGGTCATTTGATTGTTTCTCTCTCCCATCAGTAAACTGCACAACGATTGTTCTGAGTCTGGTTTTGTTCACCACTATATCCCTGTGCCATACTATAGCAGAACTCAATAAACAAATACTTGTTAAATTCATGAATAAGGTGGATGAGAAATATAGCTAATGTTTATATACATAGGAGGTATGACAGTAAAGGAAGGTTTTTTATTTTGGGTGTCCCCCCCCAAGGGACTTCTAAACTGCCTCTGAAGGCAATTCTAAGAGGAGTTTTAAAATGTATTCAGCAATGGGGTAGGCAACATTACAAGAAATGCATAACTCTCCAAGAGAACTATTTAAGGAGAATACTATTTTGAATTGATAAATTCTTGTGTGTTTGTTACAGAAGAACTAATCATAGTTTAGTCATACATTTTACTTCTTTGTTTCCTCCACAGTCTTCCAAAATGAGTGGGAGATGATGGGGTGGATGTAAGTATTAATTAGTTGATCTTGTTGGTTGCTAATCCAGTAAATGGCATGCTCCTGGGTTCTCTCTTTTGGAAATAGGTTTTACTCTGTGCTCCCAGCTTCAGGATCAAGGCAGGATGAAGGAGGATAGAAGGGAGATGGTGAGGTTGTATTTAAGGAAGGCAGATCTCATCCTCCTCTGCCTTGTGATCTTTGAGGGTTGTAACTTTCCACCCACTTTCTGTCTCCAGGAAATCAGAGTCCTTTGGGGAAGAAAATAGGAGCAGTATCTGACATCACACCATTTGATTCTGCTTTTCTTTTACCCTCACATCACTGGTTTTCTTTCTTTCTTTCCTTTTAAAATGATAACTCTTCCATAATCCCAGCAGCTCAGGAGACTGAGGCAGAAAGATCTCAAGTTCAAGGTCAACCTTAGCAATTTAGAAAGACCCTGTCTCAAAAAATAAAAATGACTGGAGATGTAATTCACTGGTAAAGCACTCCTGAGATCAATACACAGTACAAAGACACACAAATACACCCCACACACACACTTCTTTCCCTCTCTCTGCACTTGACCTCTCTTCTACTAAATCTTTTTTTTTTTTTTTTGAGGGGTGGGGGGTACCAGGGATTGAATTTAGGGTTGCCACATCCCCAGCCCAATTTTGTATTTTATTAAAGATAGGGTCTCACTGGGTTGCTTAGCTCCTCCTCATTGCTAAGGCTGGCTTTGAACTCAAGATCCTTCTGTCTTAGCCTCCTGAGCTGCTGGGATTACAGATGTGCGCCACCGCTGTAGGGCTCTTCTTCTAAATCTTGAAGCCTCTACTTCAGAACAGTCTTTTACTTAGCAATGAGAAAACTACTCTTATAGTTCTTTAGATGTGTGGGTACGGGGTGAGAGAGAAAGAAGTACAAGTCAAGTAAGAAGTATAACTAATAAAACTTTAAAAACACAAAAAGATCAAGAGTGTCAGGCAGCTGACTTTCATTCTGGATGAATGACCAACCAGAGGAGCAACAAAACTAGGAAGCCAGATCACTAGGCGCTAAAAAAGGAAGGGAAAAGACCCATGCCTGGGGTACCTAGAGCCTAAGTCCTTCATTAGCAGTGACCAGGAGCCCCGTGCCTGCGTCATTGAGCTGAATGAAGAGAAAACTGGTGCTGAGAGTTTTCTAATGACGGGGCAAGAGGACCATGTAATGTGAGGCTAAAACCTTACCCTCCATCCCCTGCAATTTCAGACGCTGTGAGGATCAAGCTGAAATTTTATTTACAGTTCCCTGGGAAATCTTACAGAAGACGGGCTATCATTATTGCTTTAGGGTTATTGCAGGAGGAAGACTGCAGTCCTCTAATGGCAGATAGGAAGTCCAGCTCAAGGCTCAAAAATTTGTTCCCAGGTCTTTGTCAGCCCCATTTCTCTGCCCAAAGACTATCATTAATGCAAAAGCACCACTCAGCTTTGTTTTCCAAGAGCCACCTGGGCAATTTTGGCCAGATCACACTGTACATCTGCAATCAAATTTCCCTCTGCTTTTGCCGGTGCTGTCACTGTTTTCCCCACTCTGGCCCCTCGCTGCAAGAACAAGGTATTACAGTAGTTCTAGATTGAAGTCTTGCACCTCCGAGCTGGGAGGTAGAGTTCTGGTTTCCCAGAGATTTTCATTTTCTTCCAGCCAGGACCAGCCTGGCTGCCTTCGTGTGGAATATCGTAAAACCACATTTCCTATGTCCCAGATAACATTATAACTCACTTATTAGGTCCTTACCCCTTGATGACATTTCAAGGGTCACTTTTGAGGTACTCTGCATGTTCTTGCATCTGCCGTGTTTTTTCTGGGCCCCCGGCACAAGGGAGAAGAGAGAAAGGAGCCAGACCAAACGGCAGAGAGTGTACGCCCATAGCTCATGCCCAGGATTAGGAAGAAGGCCTAAAAAGGACGCAGCACGGGGTGGGCGGATTACTTTTTCTCTCAAGCCCCACTGCGGAAGGATATGGCTTTGTTCATGCGCATCGCTACTCAAGCCAGAATTTGTAGTGGGCGGGGCTACCCTGGTTCTGGCCGCTCGGTGGAGGGATACGGGGGAGGGGTGAAGGGGCGGCTGCGGAGATGCGATTCTTGGGCGGGTGCAGCGGAACAGGTTGAGTCTCTGCGCTCCCCAGGGACTATTTCTTGGAATGTGATTTGTTCCCCAGGAGCCCGTCTATCTCCATCACCATCTGCGGTGTAAGCTGGCTCAGCACCTGGAGGAGAATGGGGTGGTGGACGAGGCCGTACATCTCGGGTATTGAGGAAAGTCAAGAGGTTCAGAGACCCAAGGAAGCACCAGAGTAGGGACTATTAGCAAAAAGCAAGTCACAGCTGTGACCCTGCCGCACTTTGTCATCTTGGACCTCTCACCTGCAAAGTGAGGACTTTGTAGTGGCTAACCTCATTGGACTATTCTGGGTTGGACAGTGTAGCTTTGACTCCTGGGGAAGGGGACAGAGATGAACCTTGCCACTTAGTCTCCAAACTCACCTGTAGTGAGCCCAGGTGTTCCATCAGCTGCTCTTCACTGGACACCCCCAGCAAAACCGAGCTGACACCCTCACTGCGGAGACACCAGGCTGGAGCCAGAGGAGGAAAAAACAAAAACAAAAGAACTGATGGGGATGAGTGAGCACACAGGTTTCAGTGGTATTTCTGAAGAAGAGGATAATTCCTAGGGACAAACCAGTCTTAGGGTAGGTTTGTGAGGTTTCAAGAGAAGACAGGGGTCCAGGACTGGCAGTGTCTCACCAATAGCAAGCTGGGCCACAGTGCAGCCCAGCTGGTGAGCAAAGGGCAGAAGGTCCATGGCTTTGGCTTGTTGTTTCTTGCCATCCTCACTCTGTACTTTGTCCTTGAGCCACTGGTAGCCCTGGAAGACAGGAGTATCAGCAAAAGACTTTACCACCACACATAGCATGCCAGATGGCCCCAGTTCCACCATCTCAGATCTCACCTTGATGCTGGCCCTGCAGGAATCTGGGAGTCGCCCATCATACTTGCTAGTAATGAGACCACAGGCCAGAGGAGACCAAGTGACTGAACCAACACCTAAGAGCAAGAGGATTGGGTATGGGAAAGGGACCTAGGCCACAAGTGAGGCTGAGTGAAAGGCAGGGATGTGGGGCTGCACACCAATCTTGTGATAGAGCTCAGGCAGCTGCATCTCCGCTTTCTCCCTCTGAAATAGGTGGTGCTCCACTTGTTCACACACCGGAGGAATCAGATTAAACTGTCTGGCCATGGAGTAGGCTTCCTGGGTGAGGTGGAGAGGACATGGGAGTCAGAACACTCTTTCCATTTTCTTCCTCACTTCCTCCTCCAGTGCAGTGGAGTCTGGAGTAGCCATGTGAAAAGTGGGAACCAGTTTTGGGATGGGGGGAGGTGGGGTCACAGACTCACCATGATTTCTGCAGCCCCCCATCGGGATGTCCCCCAATATAGGGCCAGCCCTTGGTTGATGACGTAGGTCATAGCTCGCACAATCTCTAGGCACACAGGAAAGGAAGAGCTTCACTGCTAGACCCCTAGAATCTACCAGATCTGCAGATCTCTGCCTGCCCCACCAAGACCCTCCCAGGTATCTCCATGCAGCCAAAAAGGTATATCTATTCTCCACCTCCCTCCTGTCCAAGTCCTGGAGTCTAAGCTTCTGCTGTAGAGTGTGGAAGGCCTCCTGAGCTGGGGCTAGCTTCTTGAGGGTTTAAGGAAGTGCCCAGTTTTGAAGGGCTACCAGGTTTGGGAGTGCTACTTTTACCCTCCATAGGACTGTTAGGGTCTGAGCGATTGGCGAAGACGATATCCACATATTCCAGCTGGAGGCGTTCCAGGGATCCTCGCAAGCCTTAGGTGGGGATGAGGAGAAAACGGTAAGTTCCTCAGTTTCTGTTTCCTATGAATTCTGACTACCCCACTGCCATGGCCACCTAAAGCCTCCAATTCAAAGCTTTCGAAAGTGTTCCCAACTCCTCTGATTTCTATGCCCATCCACTTGAGTTTCCCCAGTCTCGAACTCTCACCTTCAATGATGTGTTTGCGACTTAAGCCTCGTTCAGTTTCTGCCCTATAGGAGAAAGGTAAGTCAAAGAAGAGGTGTGACAAAGATAGGGGACCAGGGTTGGCCTGGAGCCATGAGGATTGCATGAGTCCTCAGAGGCAGGACAGGGACCTACAATAGCAAGTATGGGACAGCAGTCCTCACCACCCCCCATACATTTCTCCCCAGTCACAGTGGAATAGTCACTTACTGTCCTCCCCAAAAAATCTTGGTGGTGATGACATAGCTTGATCTCCTGGCAAAAGAGAAATGGGAGAAGCAAAAAGTAAAGGATGTTTGGATGATCATGTCCCAGAAACCCTCCAAAACATGGTCTCACCTCCATCCTTTGCGCTTGAGGATGTTACCTAGGGTTCTTTCAGCCCTGGAAGAAAAACAATGCAAAGACACTGATCTCTCCAAGGTGGATCAATTCTTTCCCCTCCTCCCCACCTTTTGCTCTTTTGTAAAGCAAAAAACAGAAGCCCATTTGGATTCTCAACTTCATTTTGGACTAAATAAGAGTGGCTTCTGGAGCTAGGGGTATAGTCATACAATATTCATTTATTAATTCAACAAATACCTCTTGTGTATCAACTATGGTATCAAGCCCTATTGTGGGTTGCTAAGGGGATAGAATAGGATGAGGGAACAGGAACAGACTGGTAGAATTAGGGAGAACACTGCCTTGTCTGGTTTCAACCATCTGGGTTGCCTTCCCCCTTCTCAGAACTTCCCACCATTCTAAGCTCAGTTCAGATTCTGCCTCATTCATTCTAAGCTCAGTTCAGATTCTGCCTCATTCATAGAATGTGCTCTGATGGCCACAGTCTATGGATCAGTCCTTCTTGTAATCTTCATTTGAATTGGTTACACAATTCTTTAGCATATAATTATGAGCTAACTTGTGACAACTCTTAAGTTGCTTTTTTTAAAAAAAATTATGTTTTAGTTGTAGTTGTACATAATACCTTTATTTTATTTATTTATTTTTATGTGGTGCTAAGGATCAAACACAGGGCCTTGCACATGCGAGGCGAGCGCTCTACCACTGAGTCACAACCCCAGCCCAAGTCTTAAATTGTTATGGTGAACTCTTTTTCTTTCTTTCTTTTCTTTTCTTTTTAACCCACAGAGCCTCATAAAACACTGACTCCAAGACCTGAAACTGAAAGCCACTGGTCAGTTATGTATTGCTGGAGATGCTGTGGCACTGGAATGGAATCTGCCAGCTACAACCAGGCCGACAGGTTATGAACAGTGCAATATGGTGAACTCTTACTGAAATGTTTTACTATTGTTTGATTTCCTGTGTTTTTTGTTGTAACCACTTAGACCATACACATTTTGTCAATGTTGTTTGTTACTGGTAAAACCCAGGGACACTTTACCACTGAGTTACATTCTCATTCTTTTTTTTTGAGACAGGGTCTTGCTAAGTTGCTGAGGCTGGCCTTGGGGATGGAACCCAGAGCTTCATGTGTGCTAGCAAATACTTTACCACTGAGCTATATATCTGGCCCACTGTGTACTTTTTTTTTTTTTTTTAATGGGAATTGAATCCAAGGGCCCATAACCACTGAGCAACATCCCCAGCCCTTTTTTTGTGTGTGTATTTTATTTAGAGACAGGGTCTCACTGAGTTGCTTAGGGCCTCACTAAGTTGCTGAGGCTAGCTTTGAACTTTCAATCCTCCTGCCATGGCCTTCAAACTGCTGGGATTACACTATGCACTTTTTGAGAGCATGTTGATTTTATACAGAATAATGCCTGCTCTGTGCTAGGCTCTGTGGAGGGATTTGGGGAAGAGCAAGACAAGTTCCATGGGGGGAAAAGCCTCGGATATAAGCAGCAAATATAGCTAGTTAAACCAGTAATTAATTGTGTCAGAAGGCAGTAAGCTTATAGGGGATGGTGACCAATTTTGGGGAGTTGGATAAAAGCTTCTTAGAGAAACTGACATTTAGGCTAAGTCTTAAAGATGAGCAGAAGTGTCTGCAAGATGGAGAAGAGGCAGAATAGGCATTCTAGGTTTTGGCTATTCCTAGTGAGAAGCCACAGGTATATTATTTGGCCTGATGAAAATACAACTTTGTAGTTCATATGTAGTTGTACATAATGATACTCAAGATATGTTTGTTGGGGTTTTGTTTATTTCTTTGTTTGTTACTGGTAAAACCCAGGGACACTTTACCACTGAGCTACATTCTCATTCATTTTTTTATTTTGAGATAGGGTCTTGCTAAGTTGCTGAGGCTGGCCTCAAACTTGGGATCCTCTTGCCTCAGCCTCCTGAATTGCTGGGATTACAGGGTTGTGCCACTGCACCCAGCTGTTAGGTTTTTTTTTTTTTCCTTCAAGATAAAAATTTTATTTGTTAGTTTTATTTAATGTGACTTACACAGTATGCCTACTGGCCTGTAAGCTAGAGAGGGATGGATGCTGGGACTATAACTCCTATAATGCTTTGGGGGCCCATGTCCTGAAAGGCTGGACCTTAGTTTTCCCAGAAATCCCAGAGTTCTTTAGTGGGAAATAAGAAACCCTGATGTTCCCTCAGCCTTCCAAGTGTAACTTAGTTCTTTCTCCCCAGTCCTTACTTTCCTGATGCATACACTTCAGCGGTGTCAAACAGGTTTATACCATGCTCATAGGCAATTGTCAGCACATCTTCTGCTGTCTAGGAAGGTGAGAGGAAAAAGTTGAAGATCACCCATTGCCCCTCAGTAACCTCCCTTGCTGTACTCCAACCCATGGCACCTCATCCCTTATTTCAATATTCTTTCCCTTTTCTGCAGTCTCCAGCCTCAGATCCCTCCTTCCCCATGCTTGCTGTTCAAACCCCTTTCCAGGTCCCTTTTTCTGATTTCCTTACCACCACCCCACCCTGCTTCTAGGTTCCATCACTTATACCTCATCTGAGATCTGAGAACCAAATGTGACCCAGGTACCTGCAGGAGAGAAGCCAGATACATGAGAACTGTGGGAAGTGGGCCATGAAAGAATGCCCCCTTCCCTTAATTCCTGTTCTGACTCACCCAGGCCAAGACAGGACACTCGAAGACCAGACTTTCCTAGATTCCTGTAGGATACAGAAGCAGAAGGAAAGGCTGGCTCTTCCATTATGAACCTAGGTCATCAGCCCCCAGCTCCTTTCCTTCCAGACTGAGAAGCCCTCAAGGTGTCTCAGTCCAAAGAAACTAGACCCAGTAAGCCTGTGGGATTGGGCAGTACTTACCATAGCAGATTCCCTAAGAATATTATTAAAAGAACAAGTGAACAAATAAATGGCTGGATGCCTCTATTCCCTCTTATCACATTGAAGATGTGCTGTCTGGTTTGTCTTTCTTCTGGGTGAGTTCTTGCCTGTATTTGAATCATCTGTGGGATGTGTGGAGTAGGGGGTTTCAGGGAATGTGGATAGTTGTGGTGAGTACAGACCCTTCAGAGAATGGCATGCTTAGGTTGACTCCAGGATGGCAGAGGTAAACCAAGTCAAGTTCAGGTACTCAGTCCAGGGTCTCTGGCTATACCCACAAAGACATAACAGGAGACCTGGCGGGGAATGTGACATGAAAGCCTCTTCCCCTCTCCAGCTCCCATTGTCTTGTGGAGACTATCTCCTAACCAGTGAGCCCACTTCTCCTCCCAAGGGGTCCCATCCAGGTAGTCAGCTCAATTTCCCAATTGGGACAGACACATGGAGGGTATGAGATTACTCAGGTGACAAAGCCAGGTTAGATTAGTGACCTCTACTCACTACCAATCAGGAGCCCGTCTCTCAGTTCTCTAAGATAATGTCAAATTTAAGCCCGCCCTCCATCCAGACCAGTCCTTTATCCTGAGGACGTAAGATAATAGTCCTTACTTCCCACAGGCCCCAGTCCCCTCCCCTTCCTGACCCCTGAGAGGTCAAAAACCCAGCTCTCGGGGCTGGTGGGGGCAATATCTGGGTCAGACACTCAGAGCAGGCCAGAGTGAGAAATCGTTTCCCTCCCTCCTCTCCCCAGGACACCAACCCAAGGACACTATTGGAGGGGGGCGCAGCCTGGAGGTCCGTGCATCCACAACCTTCCTAGGGGTAAGGAGGGAAACTCAGGAGCATCCCCTGGGTTTGACAGGACTCAACCTTGCTAAACTTGATCCTGTTAGGAGTATTGATGGAGAACAAGAGAAGGACCAAGTAAGAGAGTGCCGGGGACCGGAAGGAACATTTTTACCAAAGTTTGAAAGGGTTTTGGCGGCCATCCCAAGGACGCCTCAGGGGTCCCGAACCGGGAGCAAATGGGCAGGCTGCCCGGCCACCCCATACCTGTATTTCATGCCAGTGCTTCGGCCGGTGCTTTCGCGCAGGGCCCCAGCGGGCGCTGGAGGTCGGGGAACCAGAGCGGCTCGGGCCTTAAGGCCGGACCCGCCACCCCCCGGAGGATTCCCATGCCCCCCACCGACTGGCCCTCCATTACCGCCCCCGGGACCCGGCCGGGGTCCACACAGACGGTCCTCACTGCTTCGGCTGCGAAGGTTCTGTTCGGTACACGCGATAGACACCTGCATGCCGGCTGGCCAGGGCGAGGGAGGGGGCTCTGAGGGGACAGGAGGAAGAAGCAGGGACACCCCAGCGCGGACACCTGGGGTTGTAATAGGGCGATCCCTGGGAGAGCGGGAAGGCTGAGGAGGCTGCGGCGGGAGCCGCCTGGCAGATCGGGCCCGCGGGGGCGGGCTGCTGGAGGTCGTGGGGTTTGCTGCGGGAAGGGAGAAACGCTGGGGGCTCCAGGAGTGGAGATATTCAGATACGGGGGGGGAGCTGTTCAGGGAGTAGGAAATGGATGAGGGTAAGATCAAGGGCGATCCTCAGAAGGTAGGGACCCAGGGACAAAGGGTGGCGGGAGAGGGATGCCACTTTAGCCGGAACCGCAGCGGGACCTACTGGGGCTCCCAGCCGCGTCGGCAGCCAGCCCAGCTTATCAACATGCAGGCACCGCCCCCTCGTCTGCATAGAACCGCCCGCCTCCCAGCCAGACCAGGGGCACATCTGCATGAGCCCCGCCTGCTGAAGGCTCAATGACTTGATTTTTCATTGTGCTCAGAAGAGAGATCCATCCTAGGCGCGTAGTTGCCACACTTTCTGGACCCGACGCATGTCAGCCTTCCCTCTACTCAGTGGTTCTTTGTTGGGAGGAATATGTCCCCCAAGAAACATGTGACAAGGTTTGGAGACACTCTGATTGTCACGACTGGAGGTGGGGAAGGATGTACCACTACTAGTACCCTTTAGTAAAAAGGGTTGCTGCTAAAATCCTACAAAACAAAAAAGAATTTCCAGCTCAAAGTGTCAACGGGGTGGCTATTGAAAATTCCTTGGGCAAAACCTCTTTGCAGGCTTGATGGGTACAGCCGCCCTAGTTTCTGCTTTTATCTGGGGCAGGACCAGGCGGCCCACTCAAACAGACATGCTCAGGCTGCAGAAGGTGACAAAAAGTTTATTCTGGGCTTCTCATGGAGTCATATAAGGGTTAAAAACTGGAAAGAGGACGGGTTGGAGATATAGGGACTCCATTGTGAAGAGGAGGGGACGGGATGGAGGACGGGCTTTTGCTTTCGAGGAGGGTAGACGGAGGGGCTTACAGCAGGGGCCACAAGTTAGGAAGGGCCCCAGGCAGTTCAGATTCTCCTGAAGAATTAAGTAGCTCGCTTCAACCCGCTCGGGCAGAGAAGAACGGCAGAGAACGGACATAAGAGTCCAGCCGGGAGCGGAAAAGTTCACTTTGCACAGTTTGGCCCAGTGGGCATAGGGGATTCTTCACCACCAGCTCCACGTACAGCTGTGGAGAAAGACGGTGTAAAATCCTGGCTTTCTGGACATTTCTAATTTTCAACCCCAAATGTAGTATAACCTCAAGGGTGTATGAACTCACAAGGAACCAAGACTGGGAGGCAAGCCCTCCCTTAAGAGAAACTGTCTAAGGATGTCTAAGGATCTAAAGACCTCTGAGAAAACTCTTAAATTCAACAGAGGTACAACACAGTAGGATTAGGGCTGGAAACTTGAGGGATTTTGGGGGGTTTCTGTCTGTGGCTATTAAGGGGTTCTGATGAAAGGATCCCTCAAGGGGACACTGACCGCGCTGTAGATGTGGTGCAGCACATCTCGAATGGATCCCACGCCTAAGTCAGTATTCATGACAACCTTGATCCCAGTGGGCGTCTCGTAGTAATGGAGTTTGTAACGGCTAGTTTGGAAGGCCAGGAAGCCGTCCTTCCTGCAGAGATGAGGAGGGTGTTAAAGATGGCAGAAATACTTCTGATCCTTCAAAGTCGACTCCCTCTTGTTTAAGCATACAGTTTGTAGGAACCTAGTTGAGTAGACACCTCCCATCTCCACCCCTCAGTTTAGCCCCCACCTCCAACCTCTTCACCACCTCACCACTTCCCTACTCCCCTTCCTGCAAACTTCAACATTTTTGTTCTAAGCTTCTCTAATTTCTCCTCCCCGCGTTGGGAGCCAATCTCCCTTTCATTCTACAAAGTAAGCCCCTCTGCCCCAAAATTCCCAAGACTAGCCCTCCTTCTCACGGCGTACATGTCTAGCGGGGACATCTTGCTGACAAACGAACGGATAGAGAATAGCATCCCGTACATCAGCTTGTACTCCTAGAGGGAGAGGGACAGAGTTAGGTATTGGTTGTCGGAAGAGACCAGGTGGAGGTTGAGAATCAGCCGGGATTTGGAGAAGGGGGGTTGGGCTGGGACTATTGTACGATTGGAGGTGCGAGGTCACCCGGACTGCAGCCGGGGCCCTCTCATCACCTCCTCCTTGGGGATCCCCGCTTGCTTCTTGCGGTGCCACTCGCTGTAGTGCAGACACACTCCATTCCGGTCAAATAGATATAGGTTGTGGACAGTCATCGACAGGACAGGGACTGTAAACCTCGTTCTAGGACCGCTCTCACTCAGTAGGCTCGGATTCTCAGCCGCAGATCACTCCAACTACGTGGGTACTCCAACCCCGGATTCACCGGAATTGCTCTGAGAGTCGTGGTGCAGTTACTTCCGGTTTCCTAGCAGCCCCGCCCCATTGGGCGCTCTAACTGCAAACCCGGGCATTAACTCCGCCTCAACACCTTTCATCAGACCCCGCCTCCCTCCATCAACCAATCCGTGGCCGCCAGGATTGCGCACGCGCGATCAGGTTCCCAGACTTCAAATGCAGTGTGAGCCTCTGCGAGCGTGGTGACGTCATCAAGGCAAGAGGTGGGGCGGCGGCAGGCGGCTGCCAACGGTTTTGAGCGTGGAGGACCGCGCTAAATCGGGGGACCTTGGTCTTTTCCAACCCAGGCTCAGGTTAGGGCCGCAGTCCCTTTCTCCACCCTGGCAAGTTGGGGGCTGAGGACTGGAGTCGCGGAGAGTGGTCGGAATCGGGTGGTCACGGTAAAGGAACTCAAGCTTAAGTGCGACATGCTTTTTAGGGATGTTTCAGAGTGAGACTGAAAGTTTACAAGGTTTCTTTTGGGGGCAATTGTGAGTGATTCTAGGGATCCTCTCTTTGACTTTCTAGGAGGGATTGTAGGAGATACACAAGGGAACTGACCCTGGGTAGAACAGGTGAAGTGGGCGGGGACGGACAAAGGGCGAGACTGGAGCTCTTGTGGTATAGACATTGGACCTTACTGGTTTGGAGTCCCTTTCAATTTGCACGTTCTGGGTGTGAGAATTAAGAGCCCAGTTGACTAGAGATAACTTGTGCCGAAACTGGTCTGCAGCTTCCAGCACTCTAGCTGCGAAGAGGAGCTGCAGTGGTGCTGTTTCCTCGCTGTAGGTCTTATGTCCTTACCTCCCCTGTGCTGCACCCTCCTTTTCCACCATTCCCAGGAGCTGGGAAAAGGAATGCCTTTACCCTCTCTATGGCCTCTAGAAACGGTGGAAACCTTTCATCCGACCAGAAAGCCTTGAAACCCTTGTTCAGCCGGGATCCACCAAGGAGTCTTCCTTCCTTCTCCCAAATCTTCCTTCTCCAAGGAAGTTTTCCCATTGGACTCTCTCAAAGCTGAATCAGGAGCTCTCAGATTTCTATTGTCACCGGTTATTTTTTATGTATACTTATGGCAACCTCAGCTACCAGACCCAGTTCACCTCTCCGGCCAGAGGATCTCCTGAGTGATTCGTCAGAACCCACTGGGCTGAACCAAGTGTCCTCTGAGGTGACCTCCCAGCTCTATGCTTCTTTGCAACTCAGCCGTCAAGCGGAGGCCACAGCCCGAGCCCAGCTGTATTTAGCCTCTGCCTCCTCACCTCCTCATGAGGCCTTAGAAGGTTTGGCCCAAGAGCTGAGTCACAGCTTGTCCCTGGGATTGGAGAACAACTTGAAGAAAAAGGTGAGGAGGCGTGTCTTAGGAACCCCAAAGGTACTAGACACAAGAGCCTTGGGATTGCAAGTTAGCTCTGTTGATTGAATTTCAATTTTCTTTGCACTACATATTCAGTCATGCTTGTTCCTGGGAATAAATGTTTATGAGGCAGGCAATGATATGGAACACATAATATGGGAAATTATGAAAAACTCCCTTTTTTTTTTTTTGGTACTGGGGATTGAACTCATGGGTACCCGACCACTGAGCCACATCCCCTGACCTATTTTGTATTTTGTTTAGAGCCAGGGTCTCACTGAGTTGCTTAGCACCTCGCTTTTGCTGAAGCTGGCTTTGAACTCAAGATCCTCCTGCCTCAGCCTCCCCAGCTGCTGGGATTACAGTCATATGCCACCATTCCTGGCTCCCTATTTTTTATTTTTTAAATCAGAGACATGCACACTGTGGGGTAGGTTGATGTCCTATAACTAGGACCTGGACATGGGAATGGGGATAAGGTTTCTTGGTCCGAAGAGGGAACTGGGGACTTAAGAATAGCAGCAAAATATGCTAAGATCCTTCCAGCTCAGTACTGTTTTGATTGTATGGATCAAAATTTGGCATATAAATCCCTGAATCATGGTTTAATCAATTATACCTATTATAAAGAAAATAGGTATTTGGGTTGGATAGAAAAGATGTCATAATCAATGTACAGACTGGTTAGGACTTCCAGAATTTGAACTCTGGTAACCATGAGTTACATGACTTTTAGGGCTTTTGCTCTCTAGTTAGCAAGAATTTCTACTACCCTTTTCTTACATGTACCCACTTTATTCATTTGCACTATTTTTATGGTTTTATAGGCCTTTGGGTTTCTGACTCAAGATTTAAGAAGTCCATACTGGGTGTGGTGGCGCACGTTTATAATCTCAGCCGTTTGGGAGGCTGAGGCAGGAGGATCGTGAGTTCAAAGCCAGCCTCAGCAATGGCGAGGTGCTTAGCAACTCGGTGAAACCCTGTCTCTAAGTAAAATACAAAATAGGGCCAGGGATGTAGCTCAGTGGTTGAGTGCCCCTGAGTTCAATCCCTGAACCAAAAAAAAAGAAAGAAAGAAAGAAAAAGAAAGGTTAAGACCTTATGGGTTGGTTTCACTTTTCTAGCTTTTCCTGGTGCCAGAGTAAAAATTTTACCCTGACAGTAGGTAGAATGTAGATTATAAGGTTATATTTCCATGGGGCTTTTTTTTCTAGGATGGTTCTAAGCATATCTTTGAGATGGAAAGTGTTCGAGGTCAGCTTCAGACCATGCTCCAAACCTCACGTGATGCAGTCTATCGTGAGTAAACCCCTTCCATACAGTTCTGAAGGACAGCCTAGATGTAAGGGGTAGGAGAAACTAGAGGAGAAAGCATGGGTGCAAACCGAGACCTCTGAGACAAGAGATTTCAGGATTAAAGGCACCTGTTCTTTGGGGGAGAGGGTGAAGAGTGGCAGAAGTAGAAAGGAAGTCCCTCTCCTCTCTTCTTCTTCAAATAGTCACTGTTCTTATCCTTATCTGACCCTGGCTATGTGGTCCCCTTGGGCTGTGTGCAGGGGATCCCCTCATTTCAGGTGCTGCCTCAGAGAGACGGGATGAAGACTCCTTTGACAGTGACAGCACAGCTACCTTACTCAAGTGAGTTCTTGGGGTCCTCCTGGCTTATGTGTTTACTAGGAATCTATGTGTTCTGTTTCTTAGTTCTCCCCTGACTGCTTTTGGACTTCTTAGGAAAGAAGTCACTTAGCTTTCAGTTTTCATATTTTCTTTCCTACCTTTATTCCTTTATACCCCTCCTTTATTCCCCTCTGGCACCTGGGCAGCAGTCACCTACAACCTGGTTATCTCTTAACATCAGCCCTTCTTCTTCCAGAACAGTTAGCTTGTTTCTGTGGGATGGTTACTGCAGAGAGTGTGGTATAGAGGAAGGAGCATTATAGAGTCAATCATAGACTAATGTGCTTGCAATTTATGGCTCTAGCACTATTTAGCTTTATGACTTTGGGGAAGCCTCTTGCCCTTTCTGGGTCTCAGTTTTCTTATTTATAAATTGTCATTGTAGGACTAGTGGATCTCAAAGGCATTTCCAACCCTAACATTCTTTATCTGATTTGCTCAGCACCCGGCCCCTGCAGGACTTATCTCCATCCAGCTCAGCCCAGGCCCTGGAGGAGTTGTTTCCTCGATATACTAGCCTTCGGCCAGGGCCCCCACTCAATCCCCCAGATTTTCAGGGGCTGAAAGATGCACTGGACTCAGAGCATACCCGTCGCAAGGTGAGATATAAAGGCTTCCTTTTTTTCTTTGGTAATAGGGATTTAATTCAGGAGCACTTTACCACTGAGCTTCATTCCCAGCCCTTTAAAAAATTGTGTTTAAAATAAATTTTGATTTTGAACAACCAATTAAAAAAAATAAATTATTACTTAAAAACAAAAATAAAATAAAATAAATTTTGAGATAGGGTCTCACAAAATGACTGAGGGCCTCACTAAATTACTGGGGCTAGCCTTAAACCTGAAATCCTCCTGCCTCAGCTTTCTGAGTTGCTGGGATTACAGGCATGTGCCACCATGCCCACTATCCTTGCTATGTTTAATCACTATGTCTGCTGAGCTCCTTAAGGAACTTACTATGCTTTGTAGTGTGGGCTACTATACTTCTGCCAAAAGGTTTATGGAAATTTTTCTCAGGAGATCAGGAAAGGGAAAAACCTAGAAGGTATTAGAAGTCTTAGGCCTCAAGTTTCCTCTTTAGAATTACTGATTCTCCCTCTCCAAACCTATTTTGTTCTTGGGACCCAGGCTCCCTCTCTCTAGCCCATTTCTCTATAGAGGAGCTAGAAAGTTTGATGCTAAGGATAAGCAATACCCAGACTCTTCACTCTCCTTCCCAGCATTGTGAGCGCCACATTCAGAGCCTGCAGACCCGAGTGCTAGAGCTACAGCAACAGTTAGCCGTGGCTGTGGCTGCTGACCGCAAGAAAGATATCATGATTGAGCAACTGGACAAGGTGCCAGGGTAGCAAAAGGCGGGTGGGTATGTCCATGGAGATCATTAAGGAATAGTAATGAAGGGAGGTTAGGGTTTGTTTTTTTGTGCATGCCGAGAGTTAGGATGAGGGGTGGGTTTACTGACCATTGGAATAAGATGACTGTTGACCCTGCCCCTGTGGGTAGAAAGAGGACAAAAAAGTTATTTTGAAATTCTATCTTATTTGCCATTCTCAAGACCCTGGCCCGTGTGGTGGAGGGCTGGAATCGGCATGAGGCAGAACGGACAGAAGTGCTTCGAGGACTTCAAGAGGAACGCCAAGCAGCAGAACTTACTAGAAGCAAACAGCAGGAGGTGGATGACCTGGGTCATATGGCTTTATAACTTAAGTCACAGATTCTAGATGGAAATAAATAGCTTTGGAGTTAAGAGTTCCCAACAGATGGACCTCTGTCTTGGAGTGCTGCTCTGACAGTTTTTCTTGCCCTCTCTTTCTTCTACCTTCTTTGTTTCTGCTATCTCAGTTGGCCTCCCAGTTTTCCCCATACTGTGTAGTTTCCTCTTTGACCCTCATATCACTTAGTTAATGCTGAAGTTTCAAGTTTACATTGTTAATGATTTTTGAAGCACAGTATAGAGAGATTTTCCTCATTTCCTCTGTCCTGTATTTCTCTCTCCCTGGAAGACAGTAACCCGCCTGGAACAAAGTCTTTCAGAGGCCTTGGAGGCCCTGAATCGTGAGCAGGAAGGTGCCAGATTGCAGCAACGGGAAAGAGAGGCACTGGTGAGAAGACTGGGCTAGGGTAATTCCAGTGGAGACTGTTACTTCTAGAGCACTATGGGCTATTGGTGGGTTATGGGAGTTTATAATTTGAGTTGCACCAGGGTAGTGTTGCCCAAGCTGTGTTCCTTAGAACACTAGTTCTGCTAGGTATTCTACCAAAAAAGTCTTTGCCACCAAGTAAGGTTGAGAGATGCTGCAAATGGTATCCTTATTAGAACATTAGAATCATCTGGAGAATTGTTTTTTGAGTGGGGCGGGTACTAGGAATTGAACTCGGGGGCACTAAACCACTAAGCCACATCTGGGGAATTGTTTTAAAATACAGATTTCAGGAACCCATCCCCAAAGATTTTGATTCAGTAGTTATATTGTGGGTTGGTGAATTGGAACATTTTCAGAAATTTTCTAGGTGATTTTGTTCAGCTAGTTTGGTAAATCTCTGCATAGCCAAAAAGGGTCTGGGATGAGACTCAAGTTTCTTAGCACTAAAGTCATCGGGTGATTGCCCATGTGAGTTAATGGTCATGTTTGGAATTTGGTGCTTTGTGACACATAAATACTTGCTACCAATAGGCTGGCACTTGCCAACTTAGGCCACTTCTGACATTGCTGATGGTGGCTGCTGTTTGGTTGGTTCCTGACTAGAGATTGATTTTTCTAATCTTTGTGGAATTCCTTTTGATGATGGTGGTGGTAATTGTTAAGTGTTAGTACTTACCGTGTGCCAGACACTGTGCTAATCCTTTACATACATACTCTTTTTCTTTTAATCCTTACAAGGCAGACCCTGTTATTATCTACATTTTGTAGATAAAGTGCCTGCTCAGAATTATATCCATTAGAAATATAATAGTTGACAAGCTAACAGGATTATAATAATGTGACTTAGAACACATAGTATATATGAATGCTAGAACTATGATTCAGACTGAGGTTTGAATCCAGGTCTACTGAACTCTAGGACAGGAGTTCTTATCTACTATATTATAATCCTGTGAACTTGTCAACTATCATATTTTTAATGGGCATGATTCTTAGTGGGCACCTTTTATGGAGGTGGCAGTGGCAAGCTGATGATCTCTTAAGGGCTTACTAGGGATCTTGGTTTTCTCCTGGGGCTTTAGGAAGAAGAGAGGCAAGGACTGACCCTGAGCTTAGAGGTCGAACAGCAGCGGTGCCGCGCCCTGCAGGAAGAACTGGACGAGGCTCGGGCTGGGCAACTCAATGAGCATCTAAAGCTGGATGCACTTCAGGTTGCCCTAGAAAAAGAGCGGCAGGCCTGGGCCCAGCAGGAACACCAGCTTAAGGAACGCTACCAGGCACTGCAGGGGGAAGGCCAGGCACAGCTGGAAAGGGAGAAGGTAAAAGCAGCAGTTAGAAGAATTGGGGAATGGGAACAGATGAAGGGAAAATTATAGGATGGATTGGGATGCCAGAATATGAGGTATAAATAGGGACAGAGGGACAGGGGTGGAAAGTGAAGAGCTATGCATGGAAAGCAGGCTTGAGAGTATAGGGCTAGCAAGAAGGGCTGGGAATATCAAATATGTGGAAGACTGAAGAGCAACATTAAACCAGGATGGGAAATAAGACAAATGGGAGGAGAGAGAAAAATTGGGTTTTATTTAGGGCCTGGGATGATGAATTGGGGAGTAGAGGTAACCAGGAGATAGGATGTGAGGTATGTTCTTACATTTGATTTTTCTTTCTTAGGGGAATAGCCAGAGGGAGGCCCAGGCAGCCCGAGAGGCCCAGCAGCAATTGACATTGGTACAGTCTGAGGTGCGGCGGCTGGAAGGGGAGCTAGACACAGCACGGAGAGAGAGAGATGCACTGCAGCTGGAAATGAGCTTGGTGCAGGTCAGCAGCCCAGGGCTCTTGAGGATTTTTCTGGTTGAGAGAAGTAGGTCTGAGGCAGAGTACCTCTCAGTTGTCATGTCAGAAAATCTTCTTGCAGGTATTTTGGATTCATTTTATCAGTGGTCTCTAGGTAGTGTGAATAGTGTTCTATCTTAAACACAGGGCCAGGCTGGGGTTGTAGCTCAGTGGTAAAGTGCTTGCCTAGCATGTGTGAGGCACTGGGTTCAATCCTCAGCACCACATAAAAATAAATAAAGGTATTATGCCTATCTACAACTAAAAATTTAAAAAATAAAAAAGTATAGGGCCATTTTCCACTGAGTGATGGTTTCCCACAATATTGGACTGACCTAGTGTTATTTTTAGCAGAAAATTGACTTAAATAGAATGAAATCTATTTAAGATACCTCAGAATGCCAGATACATAATCCCAGCAACTCGGGAGGCTGAGGCAAGAGGATTGCAAATTCAAGGCTAGTTTCAGCAACTTAGCAAGACCCTGTCTCAAAATTAAAAAATAAAAGGGTCTGGAGGTAATAAAAGGGTTTAGCTCAGTGGTAAAATATCCCTGGATTCATTCTCCAGTACCAAACCAAAAAAAAAAACAAAAAACTTCATGTTATTTTAAAAGAGATGACACTACACCTAATGGTCAGCTATAAGAGCAGGTGAAAGCTTTTGTCAGAGACCTGATTCCAGTCTTAACAGTCTGCTGTGTAACTCTGATTACTTGAATAACTTGTATTAATTCCTCTTGAGTAGGCTAGGGACCCAGAAGGGCAATGATTCCTTTATTTACTTATGAACGTCCCAGAACAGCTCTTGGCCTGGCACAGAATAGTACCACAAATTGTCAGATATAATTAAACTTGGAAAAATAATTTCCACGTAGTGTTATTTTGAATTTTGAAGTCAAAATAGACAGACCCTTGTCATGTAATAGAGCAAGACTTGGCAAACTTTCTGTAAAGGGCCAGACAGTAAATATTTTTGGCTTTGTGAATTGTGTGGTCTCAGTTGCAACCACTTGACTATGCTGTTACACCAGTAGCTGTAGATAGTTCTGTAAACAAGTAGCATGACTTTATTTACAAAGTAAAACTTTATTTACAAAGCAGGCAGTGGAGGGCTGAACTGGGCTGTAGTTTGCTTATCCCTTGAATGGAGGAAAAAGTTGGACAGAGTCTAGTGAAGACACAATATTGAAGAGCAAAGAGCACTGAATTGGGAGTCAAAATATTCAGTTCTACATTTAATTAGAATTTTGGCCTTTATGGACCTCTTTTTATGTGTAAACTGTGTGGTAAGAGCAAATTGATGGGTTTTTGAGAGCAAGTCAAGAAGTCAAATTGAATGACCAGTAGGGAGTAAAGAAGTAAGAAGGGCCAAGGACAACTCCAGGTTTCACATAGCTCAGGTATATATTGGTAGGCAGAGGTGCCATTAACTGAGGCAAGAAATATAATAGGAAGAGAAGGTAAGAGAGTAGAGCTGTGTACCATGGTGTACACCTATAATCCCAACTTGAGAGGCTAAAGCAAGAGGATTACAAGTTCAAGGCCAGCCTCAGCAATTTAGTGAGATCCTATCTCAAAATCAAAAATGAAAGGGACTGGGGATGTATCTCAGTGTTAAAGTACTCCTGGGTTCAATCTCTAGTTAAAGAAAGAAAGAAGGGCTGGGGGGATGTAGCTCAGTGGTTAAGCATCCCTGGGTTCAATCCCCAGTACCAAAAAAAAAAAAGGAAAGAAAAACACCTAAATGCGCTGAATTTGGGGTGTGGTCTATTTGAGGTGTGTCTAACTCATTATTTGGTTACTGGTATATGGGCTTAAATCTTAAATAAAATGTCTAAGTTAAAAGGGGAGATTTACAGGGGCTGGGGTTGTGGCTCAGTGATAGGGTGCTTGCTTAGCATGCATGAGGCACTGGGTTTGATCCTCAGCACCACTTAAAAAAAAATGAAATAAAGATATTGTGTGTCTACCTACAACTAAAAAATAAATATTAAAAAAAGAGGGGGAGGGGCTGGGGATGTGGCTCAAGCGGTAGCGCGCTCGCCTGGCATGCGTGCAGCCCGGGTTCGATCCTCAGCACCACATATTGTGTCCGCCAAAAACTAAAATAATAAATATTTTTAAAAAAAGGTGGGGGAGATTAATGGGCTGGGGCTGTAGCTTACTGGTAGAGCACTTGCCCAACATGTGTGAGGCACTGGGTTCTATCCTCAGCACCACATAAAAATAAAAAAAATAAAGGTATCGTGTCCAACTACAACAAAAAAAAATATTTTTTTTTAAAAGGAGATTTATGGGGATGGGGATATGTGGCTCAATGGTAGAGTGTTCACCTAACATGCACAAAGCTCTGGGTTCCATCCCTAGCACCAAAAAAATAAATAAAAGGGGGAGATTTAGGAAGTGTTAAGATAAAATTGTAGCAAAAATCTGGCCTAAATGCTAAAGTTTATCATGTATGTGTAAGTAAAATCATCAGCAACTGTAATGTTAGCATATGGCAGAAGAGGATGAAGGATACCTTTCCAGGCAGTGGGAGGCACAACAGTCATCTAAGACTCTAGAGAGAATGAAAACTAGGAGAGAGTGGTGTAAGGAGAGCTGAGGCAGAAAGTTTGCAGAAGGGAGCATAGACCTGTGGTGCCAGGAGTTGCAGTAAGATTATATATGATAAAGACTGAGAAATGAACACTATAGGATTTAGAATTAAACTCTACTGAAACAGAAATCAAATTTCAGTGAGTTGAAGAAGGAATGTGTTGTGAGAAAATGCAGATAGCAATTATAAACTGACTGCTTATGGAGAAAGAGATGCTGACTTTGAGTGCCTACTGAGTTTCAGGTACTGTACTAGGGGTACTATATACGTTATCTCAGAAGTATATCATAGATTTATTTGTTCTGTCAAACATTGCCTTGGGTTAATAAAATATGTTTCTTTTGTCCAAAGTCATTTTTGCTTTTTTGTACATATAAGATATGCATAGTTTATTAAGAAAGCCTCTTATTCCTATGGCAAAATTCTTGTTCTTCATCCCTTTTGCAGGTGAGGGGAGAGTTGGTCTTAGATTTTGTCTACATAATATCCTAGATTCTCTTCTAAGCTCAACAGAATTGAGTTATTATCCCACCTTATTTTACTGAATCACAGGCCCGGTATGAGAGCCAGCGGATCCAGATGGAGTCAGATCTGGCTGTGCAGCTGGAGCAGCGGGTGACTGAGCGGCTGGCTCAGGCTCAGGAGAGCAACCTACGACAAGCAGCCTCCCTCAGGGAGCATCACAGGTACTTGGGACTTACTGTATGCTGCAGCTGGTGTTGTTAGTGCTGTGCCCATATGTTCTCTCAGAGGTCTTTGTCATTTTCCAAACATTGGCCCCAGTGTACTTTTGCTCCCTTCAATCAGGACCTCAGTGCTCTTTGGAGTGCTGCATCAGATGTTCATGGAGAGTCAGAAGTTCTGGGACTTTCATCCAGGGTGCCAGACTAGAAAGTGTTCAGCTCCCTTGTTGGGACAATGCTAAGATATGATCTGTGCTATATCTAGAGCTGTTCCATGGGATTGCACCTCATTCTCCTACCAGTTTTTTCTGGGAACACTTCTTAAATAAATCACTCTCCGTAAATCCTCACTGCAGTGTCTGTTTCTGGGGAGCCCATCTTCAGATCTCCAGCTCTTCCATATCTCTTCTGTGCTGTGGCCAGGCTGGCTGACTGTGGCTGTTCACCTCTCCCTCTCTTGCACATATTTTGTCTTTTTCTCACTGATCATTTTTTCTTCTATTTTTTTTTAAAGAGGGAGAGAGAGAATTTTTAATATTTATTTTTTAGTTTTTTTGGCAGACACAACATCTTTGTTTGTATGTGGTGCTGAGGATCAAACCCAGGCCGCACGCATGCCAGGCGAGCGCGCTACCACTTGAGCCACATCCCCAGCCCATGATCATTTCTTCTGTTTCCAGTTTCATCCCTCCTTTTCTCACCCTGGCTCTCCCAGGAAGCAGCTGCAGGACCTTAATGGACAGCACCAGCAGGAACTGGCTACTCAATTGGCTCAGTTCAAGGTGGAAATGGCAGAACGAGAAGAACGGCAGCAGCAGGTGGCTCAGGACTATGAACTCAGGTACTGGTCCCTGGAATGTCCCTTTTAGGCCTGAGCCCCTTCCTAGTTAGTAAAGCCCAGGCTGGGAATTGATAAAGAGCTGTCCCTCAGTAGATTTGCTGTCTTCTAAATTGGCATAATACCTTTCAGAATTTCATATGTCTGACATTTTATTCCAGCTCTTCATTCAGATAGAATAAGGAGAGGGTGGCGTTTGGAAGCAGAGGGAAAAATTTTTGTAGAATGGAAGGTAGACCTGGGTTATGAGGTGTGTGCATCCTTGAAGCTCTGAGTCACCCTCCCTTCTTTTCTTCAGACTTGCACGGGAGCAAGCACGAGTGCAGGACTTGCAGAGTGGGAACCAACAGCTGGAGGAGCAAAGGGTGGAGTTGGTGGAGCGGCTCCATGCCATGCTGCAGGCCCACTGGGAGGAGGCCAACCAACTGCTCAGCACTACCCTCCCACCTCCTAACCCTCCGGTAGGCATTGCCCTGTGAGCTAAGCTTCTCAGGGTTGTGTTCTAGATTCCATTTATGGAAGTCTAGCTTCCCCCCCCAAGGGAAATCATAAGAAAGGTCTACATCAGAGGGGAAAAATCTGTGAACTTTTCCAAAAGTCTTACCAAAACAAACCTTTTTGCTATTGCCATAGCTCACCAGAACTAAACCCATTCCTTTGAACGTAACTGTCTTCTCCTAGTACCAAGAGGTGATGAATAATATGCAATACTCATATGATGGAATGACAGCTGAATGAATTATGGGAGTAAGGACTAAAAATTGTTGCTAAATCCTACCCTACAGTAGAGTAGGGAGTCTTCCCCTTAGCCCTTCTTATGTGGGCATCTCCTACTTCCTTTTCTTAATTATGAAATTTTTGTTATTAGCTAAAATGTTTTTTGGAGTAGGTAATCATATGCACATGATAAAAATAAAAATCCAATAAAATGGTACATGAGGGCTGGGATGTGGCTCAAGCGGTAGCGTGCTCGCCTGGCATGCGTGTGGCCCGGGTTCGATCCTCAGCACCACATACAAAGATGTTGTGTCCGCCAAAAACTAAAAAATAAATATTAAAAAAAAATTCTCTCTCTCTTAAAAAAAAAAATGATATATGATGAAAAAGTAATCTCCATCCTAACCTTGTGCCTCAGGTTCTCAGGTCCCCTCCAAAGAAGCAACCACTGAACTGGTGTTTTGACCATCTCCCATCCTTCCTTGTACCCACTGTGCTTGCCCCACATCCCAAATGGTTGCCTTATGTCTACAACTGTATAACTTTTTATTCAACCAAGTGCTTATTGATGACCATAAAGTTGTTTTCTATATTTTACATCTATAAACAGTATATAGTAAATATCATTAAAATACAATATATGTCTTTGTTAACTATATAAGATCTGTAGAAATAATTATAAGATCCAAAATAAACAGTTTAAACTCTGATAGAAAGTGAATAGATGTTACTCAATCTTCTTTTAAGGAAGTAGTTTATAATTTTGTTCAAGTGTCTGTACCATGTCTCATCCCTGAACCCACTGGGCTTTGATTCTTGTTTCTGCCTCTCTCCTGGCCAGGTTCCTTCTGCCAAACCCTGTAGTCCTGGCCTTCCAGAGTCAGAGAAGAGAGAGAGGAGGATGTGGACCATGCCTTCTGTAGCTGTGGCCCTGAAGCCAGTGTTGCAGCAGAGCAGGGAAGCGAGGGATGAACTGTCTGGAGTGCCTCCTGTTCTCTGCACCCCCTCCCCAGATCTTAGCCTCCTGCTGGGCCCCCCTTTCCAGAGCCAGCATTCCTTCCAGCCCCTGGAGCCCAAACCAGATCTCACTCCACCCACAGGTAACTGAGGACAGAAGTCACTGGGGTTCCCCTTTCATGCACAGAATGGCCTTCTTTACCTAGCTTTCTTTCTGGCTGGGACTTGAACATTTGGTTGCCCAGACAACCTAATAATCATTAAGTATAAGGAGCAGAAACCCATTCACATTGATTAGATAAAGGGAGGGCAATCTCATGGGAATGTGATGTAGCTAGACCGAAAGAGAACTAGTATTGGGAATAGGGGTGCTCTCCCTATTATAGTCTCTCTCTTTTTTTTATATTATAGTCTCTTGACTCTGCTTCATCCTGCACACTTACTCCTTCTCCTGCTAGACCAACAATCTCTTGTAAATTACTCAAGGTTCTCATTCCTCTTACCCTTGGCCTCCACATGGGTTGGCCAACCTTGACACTGACTCTAGCCAGGCTCTAGCATTTACAGAGACACTGGCATCAGCTTCTTAAGTCCTATTTACAGAGGCCATGGGATGGGTTGGTAGCCCTCCATTGTATCAGCTGACCTTGGATGTGGGTGTCCACCCCAGGTTTGGTCATCTGTGGTTGGAGGTGTCCTGGGTTATATAAACATGACAACTAGGGTTATAGCTCAGTGGTAGAATGTTTGCCTAACACATGCAAGGCACTGGATTCGATACTCAGCACCACATAAAATAAAATAAAAGTATTGTGTCCATCTACAACTAAAAATATAAGAAACAGAAGAATGAGGTATGAATTTATTATAATTTTTAAATTATGTATCAATAATAATAAAAGTAACAAAAGATTAGGGACATGTTCTGGTGAAGCAACAGAATTAAGTCTTTCTGTTCATTAAGGAGTTTATGGTGTTTTTATCTAGAGTTTGAGCCACACTGCTTTCTTCTGTCTACACTTGTGTCTTAGAATACAGTTGTACTATCTCCCAGGCCCCTCTGACCCTTTTTACTCCAGCTCTTTTAAATTTCTATTGTCTATCTCCTTGCTGTGATGTACTTCTTACGTTTAATAAGCCCTTTTCTTCTGAGCATTTGGTGAGTTAATTTTTGGAGCGGCCCCTTCCCCTTGTCACACACATGCACCCATGCATGCCTATTTCATTTTACAGCTGGGACCTTCTCTGCCCTTGGGGCCTTCCATCCCGATCACACAGCAGAACGGCCATTTCCTGAGGAAGATCCTGGATCTGATGGGGATGGCTTCCCAAAGCAAGGGCTACCACCTCCTCCTCAGCTGGAGGGCCTCAAGAATTTTTTGCAGCAGGTAAAAGATTCCACCCAGACCACCTTATTTATTTGTTCCCTTTCCTTTCCCACTCTAGGAATCCAGTACTCTGGCTTCCTTCAGTTGTTATGGCTAATTCTTTGTCCCATCTTCATATTCTCTCAGTCTATCTCATCCCCAGTGCATAATTCTCTTCTAGAATTTAAGCCAATGACCTTAGCCCTTACTTCAGCAGCTTCTACTCCTCTCAATACCTAGGTATCTCCCTCTTTTATCAGTCCCCTAGGGAACCTTACTGTCTTATCCCCCCAGCTGCTGGAGACAGTACCCCAGAGCAGTGAGAACCCCTCTGTTGACCCGTTGCTCCCAAAGTCTGGTAAGTTCCAGCCCTCAAGGAGGTTGGGGCTGGACCTGGACAGGTGGGTATTAGTGATTTAGGATGGATGTTGAGGAGCTACTAGGTGGTAGAACTCCTTTGGCTCTTGGCTCCATTCTCTATTTATGGATCTCTTTTCTGTTGCTAGGTCCTCCGACTGTCCCATCTTGGGAGGAAGCTCCTCAAGTGCCACGCCTTCCACCCCCTGTCCATAAAACTAAAGTCCCCTTAGCCACAGCATCTAGTCTTTTCCGGGTCCAGGAGCTTCCCTCATCCCATTCACAAGGCAATGGTCCCAGCACTGGTTCCCCAGAGAGAGGTAAGCTGTTCATGTTTTGTCAGAGAAAGAAAGTCCCAGGTTTGGATTCTTAGGGAGATGGGATGAAGCCTAGAAGAGGTGTCCTAGGGTTATGACAATCACTGACATGTCTCACAGGTATGGATGGTCTTAGCTCGTCAGGCCAGCTGATGGAGGTGTCTCAGCTATTACGACTGTACCAGGCTCGGGGCTGGGGGGCTCTGCCTGCTGAGGACCTGCTGCTCTATCTGAAGAGGCTGGAAAACAGCGGGTACAGCCTGGGAGGGAGGAGGAGGGATTTGGGGGTGGAATATGCACTGGGAAGATGGATCAGGCAGGGGGATATTGTTTATTGAGTAGAGTCTTCCGTTCCTTTCTGGGGAGGAAAGTGAGGGATGAGACAAGGCACACAAATCTTCTCTCACTATTCCCACCTTTATTTTACCTCTTCCTTTCTACTACATTTTTCTTTACTGAAAACAGGACAATATCAAAACCCTCTTCCCCATGTCTCTGCACTTTAGTTTTTTCTTTTCTTTCCCCTGCAGCTCAAATCTCAGACTCCTAGGATTTTTTACTTATCTAATATAATTTATTATTTGATTCCACTAATATCTCCTCCAATTTGATTCCCAGCTTCATTGCATTTGTTCTCTTTTTATTTCATTTTTTGGTACTGGGGATTGAATCCAGGGATACTCTACCACTGAGATACATCCCCAGTCTCATAAACATACACACACACACACACACACACACATATAATTTTGAGACACTGTTTTGCTAAGTTGCTTAGGGTCTCACTAAGTAAGATACTGAGGCTGGCCTTGAACTTGTGATCCTCCTGCCTCAGCCTGCCAAGTCACTGGGAATACAGGTGTGCATTACCACATCTGGCATTTCTTCTTTGAACCCAGTGGTACTTAACCACTGAGCCACATCCCTACCCCCACCCCACCCCCTTTTTTTTTTTTTTAATTTTGAGACAGGATCTCACTAAGTTGCTTAGATCCTCACTAAATTGCTGAGTCTGGCCCCAAACTTGTAATCCTTCTGTCTCAGCCTCCTGAATCGCTGGGATTATAGGCGTGTGCCACCACACCTGGCCTGATATTTCTTCTTGAGAGACAGATTGGGGAGTATTTCTTCCATCCAGTGTTGGGTAGAGTTGGGGGGATAACTCCTGCATCTTCATACTGTTGATGTGTGTGGCAGGACTGATGGCCGAGGGGAGAATATCCCCAGAAGAAACACAGACTCCCGCTTGGGTGAGATCCCCCGGAAAGAGGTGAGGGCAAGTCCAGCAGGGACCAGGGGAGAGCAGATAGCTCACTGCCCAGTTTCTTCAGCTCTTGATACTCCCTGGCTGGCTCCAGCTCCCCCTTGCCTGGCCCCTCCAATCCCAGTTCCCACTTGCTAGAGCATAGATTTTCTTTTCCCTTTGGTGATTGCTTCTGGTCTTCTCTGTGCACCATGCCTTTCCTCTGTGGGGTGGGGGGATTGGGAGTGTATCACACTGACTTTCCCTTCTCTTTTCCCCAACTCTCAGATTCCTTCCCAGGCTGTCCCTCGCCGCCTTACAGTCCCTAAGACTGAAAAACCTGCACGGAAGAAAAGTGGTAGCATGAGGAGTCGGGGGGGAGTCTGGAGATGAGCCTCCTGCCTTTCTTCCTCTGTTTTGTTCTCTTCTCGTTGTTATTTTAATAAATGTGCAGTAGTCTGTATTAGAGTCTAACTCAGAGGAATTTGGAAAATGGAGATTTTGTAGGAAACTACTTTTGTAAAGAGACCTTATTCCGAGTATGTTTTTTTTAATGTCATATATTTATATCTTATTTCCTATGGGAAAAGACATTAATGCTTTGGAAGAAGACAGTCCATGACTAGATTTTAGAAGTTTGAGTGAACCTTAAATTTCAGTGTTTAAAATTTATGGCATGATTAACTCTGGTTGGTAGTGGAATTATGGATTATTCTTATTCTTTTTTATATATATTTGTATTTTCCAAGTTTTCTAAAACAACTATGTGTTATTTTAATATCATAAAAACCCTAATTTTTAATAAAAGAGTAAATTATGTTTATAAAAAGTTTGAGTAAAAATGTGGTTGTTGCAGGGGATAGGGGAGCTGTCTTTTTTCTTTTTTTTTTTGGTATAGGGGATTGAACTCAGGGGCACTTGACCTCTGAGCCACACCCCCAGCCCAATTTTGTATTTTATTTAGAGACAGGGTCCCACTGAGTTGCTTAGTGCCTCACTTTTGCTGAGTCTGGCCTTGAACTCATAACCTCCTGCCTCAGCCTCCCGAGCCACTGGGATTATAAGCATGGGCCTCTGCGCTCAGCCAGGGGAGGTGTCTTAAGAGCAGGTAAGTCTTCCAGGTGACAATAGTTGGATTCAGTTTGGCAGATTCTGCTCCAGCCATCAGGCACGTTTTCACTCAATGGCTTTAAAACATATCTAAAAGACTAGAATGCTGGCATGAAGGGAAAAAAAAAGCCATGTTTCTAAAACCATTCTAACACTTACCAAAATGAACAAAGAAAAATAACATTACAGAAGAAGATAACATCTACATGAAACTAAGAGCCCCAACTTCAAGGAACAAACACTGAAAAACACGAAGTCCAGTTTCAATTAAACTGAAAGATGAGGCCTCAGAACATGGCAGCACTTCTGCTCTGGATCGTGGTGTGGGTGGTGGTGATGAGAAGTGCAAATCCAAAGGGCATTTGAAGTATGACCAGATTGAGAGTTGACCAGATTCTGAGGAAGGCAAAGGCCCTTCAATTTGACCCTGAATTATTTTATTAGATTCAGAACAGACATAATAAGATATAGACTCACATAGTGTTTCGTATCAACAAACATTCAGGTTTTATTTCCTTCCACCTAAACCCGAGGGAAGAGAAAAAGGAAGAAAAGATCAAGATAGAAGATCTGCCATCACATGGCTTCTGATCACCCGTGTCCAGGACAGCTGGGTCCTCAGCCCTATTCTGGACTGTGTTCTCTGATACATACAAGCAAAGAAATAAAATGCAAGTGGGAACAGGAGTAGCACAGGCTTGGGGGGCTTTTTGAGCCTGACTGCATACCCATCTATGACAATTTTTGCATTTCCATTTCTTTGCTACAAGTGCTTTCAATTGGTTTGATCAACTTAATGGTATTTCATACATATTAGTGTGCTGGTTTGTGGCACCCTGTCATTGGTAAGAGATGGCTTTCTACCATTTTTTTTAATTGGTAAAAATGAGCATCCAGTTCATTTTTATTATGTCCTGGATTCTAGCCTGCCACCATTGTCAACATGCCCTACATTTTTCTTGATGTGAAGCACAATCTGGAGAATATTTCCTAAAACAACTCTTAAAAAAAAAAAAAATTGGAAAAGAGCACAGTGCTGACTTGGCTATTTTGTGAAGTCATTATAACCAGACAACTTCTATTTTATTTTATTGGTACCAGGGATTTGAGCCCAGGGATGCTTAACCACTGAGCCACATTCCCATCCCCTTTTGTATTTTATTTTGAGACAAGGTCTTGCTAAGTTGTTTAGGGCCTTCCTAAGTTGCTGAGGCTGGCTTTTAACTTGTGATCCTCCTGCCTCAGCATCCCAAGCCACTGGGATAACAGGTGTGTACCACTGCATGCAGCTGATTTTTTAATGTATATATTGCACTCGTATTAACAGTTTGTTTATTCACTGAATACCATCCTGGACCCATAGCCAAGAAGTCCACCAGGTTTTAGCTCCATAATCATTTTAGGAATATTCTGAGAAGGGCAAACATAAATAAGAAAATGAATAATGTTTTTCAAGGGAAAAAACTCAACATGCAGAGGAAATGGGTGTAATCTCAATGCTCAGGTTTCCTCTCAGAGTAGGTATGGTGTTGATATAGGATTTTTGTCGCCTGAGAACTCTCACTGGCATGTCTGGCCTGGAGTTGAAGGCATACAAAAGGGTGTAATCTATTAGAGTGAAGCCTGATCTCTATAACAAACCCAGAGGCACAGCGGCTTTTGGATAAGGTATATTTACCTGGTTACAGTTCAGAATAGTGGAGGAGCCACTCTCCACATGGTCAGGTCAGGCCTGTTTCCTTCCATATTGTTGCTATGCCTAGATCACTGTCATTTGTTTTGTTGAAGCAAAGCTGTCATGTGGAAATCTCATCTGGTAAGCAGGGAAAAGGACCTATGTCCAATGTCTTAAGGCCCACTATTGGAAATGCCACACATCCATTTTTCTTGTATTTCATTGGCAAAACCTTGGTCACCTGGTCACATCTGATTGCAAAAGACTCACAAATGTGTCTTTTTTTATGCACCTATAGCTATTATTATATGAGAACAAAGACAGGGTCACACTAAGTTATTTAGATCCTTCATCTTTTCTTCGTTTTCCCCTTCCCTCAGGTTTAGGTGGAAGGAAATAAAACCTGAATGTTTACCGATATGAAACACTATGAGTCTATATCCTATTATGCCTGTTCTAAATCTAATTAAATAGTTCAAGGTCAAATTAAAGGGGCCTTGCCTTCCTCAGAATCTAGTCCTTGGTGGACAACAGGGGAGTCTGTCCTATTGAGGGTGGAGACCTCCTTTAGAGAAATTGAAAATTAATAATTGCTGAGATAATCCATGCCAATTATTAGGAGTGACTAATGAAAAATTCATTAGACAGACAAATTAGCATAAGATGTAGGATTGAACTAACTAGCCCCTACACAACAGCATTAGTGCAGGAAAAAAGCAAAAAACTTCAATTCTAACCAGTATTCTTAAGGAGAAGAGAAAATTGGTATGAAAAAGAAGAAATTGTAGCACAACGTTTGGGGTTTAGAAGGGGAAAAGTATATAAATTATTAGAGGAACAATAAAAAAAGAATAGTTTCAGGGGCTGGGGTTGTGGCTTAGTGGTAAAGCGCTCACCTAGTATGTGTGAGGCACTGGGTTCAATCCTCAGAACTACATAAAAATAAATAAAAATAAAGGCATTGTGTCCACCTACAATTAAAAAATATATATTAATAAAAAAAGAATAGTTTCAGATAATAAATATCTAGTAATGATAAATAATAGAAAATTTTGATTCTGAAAATATGTTTGAATGGATAATTCAAAGTCCCATCCTAAATTATAACTAGATCTCATTGTTATTTTTTTTTAAGTTTTAGTTGTAGATGGGCACTATACCTTTTTTATTTTTATGTGATGCTGAGGATTGAACCCAGTGCCTCACATACTAGGCCTATATCTCATCATTATTAAGACAGACTTTTTAATGTATGGCTGTGCTTGCTAGAAAATAAGGGAAATTGAATTTGCACTTTTCTCACAATAAGTTGAATCTACAAAATCCAACTGACCTTCCTGCTGAAATAATGTAAAAAAAATAAAAGATAAAAATTATTTTTTCAAAATCTTAAATATGTTGATAAGTCAGCAAAATTGATGCCTCAAATAAATGCAGGAACATGAGAATTTAAATGGGACACTTGCTTTTCAGATAAAGGGTATTTGTAGAACTGGGTCCCTCAGTGGTGTGTGTGCCTGTGAGCACACCCACACAGGCATGTGTGAGTGAATGGTATTTATCCCAGAAATATGAGGTAGTTTAACATTGGAAAGCCTATAGTTATAATTATTTACCACACTAACAGATTAAAGGAGAAAAATATATGATCATCTGAGCTGTAGAAAGACCCTTTGATACAACTCAGCGACTACTTATGACTATAAAACAAAAACAAACCCCAGACCCTCCTCACACTGGGAGTGGTGGTGCACATCTGAAATCTCAGCTGCTCGGGAGCCTGAGGCAGGAGGATCACAAGTTTGAGACCAGACTCCTTAGTGAGGACTTATCTCAAAGTAAAAAAAGAGCTGGGGATGTAGCTTAGTGGTAGAGCATTTGCTTAGCATGCATGAGGCCCTGGCTTAACTCCACAGTATCTCAAAACAAACAAAAACTTCTAGCCAGGAGAAATAGGAAGAATCTTTATTTTTTTAAATTTATTTTTTTGTACTGGGGATTGAACCCAGCACACTCTACCACTAAGCTACTTCCCCAGTGCGCCCCCCCCCCACTGTTTTTCTTGGGACAGGGTCTCACTAAGTTATTTAGGTCCTCACTAAGTTGCTGAGGCTGACCCTGAACATGTGATTCTCCTGCCTCAGCCTCCTGAGTCGCTGGGATTACAGAAGTACATCATCATGCTGGGCTTCAAACATCATTCTTAATGGGGAATGTTAGAAGCATACTCTATAACGTTTCTAGGGTAAAGATACTCTTCATTATTGCATTTATTAATATGTAGTGAGATCCTTGCTTGTGCAATGTAATGCAAACTTGGAAAACATGAAATGATAGTACCAATATTCACAGATTACATAATCATTTTCATGGCAGTATATCAATGCAAATGATTATTAAATGATATATTTAAAATATATTTAAGTGACACTAAATTTATGGGTATTTTCAAATAATAAATTAACGTAATGCTATGTTAACTGTTAGGATAAGCGACACATTGAAATTTAAATGGTATATTAAAATTCATGGAAAATAGGTCACTTTTAGTATAATTAATCTCAATAAAAAGGTATTGGCTTAACAAAAGGT